TGCCGGAAGGCGCGGAGGGGGGCGGGGGGGCCGCGGTCCTCGGGGCCGGCGCGGTGCCGCAGGCTCTCCACGTCCACCTTGCACTGGTACAGCTCTCGCTTGAAGTCCTGCAGGACCAGGGAGCGCGGGGCCTTGGGCACAGCCCTGCACGCCCAGGACCCCTGCAACCCACGCCCGGCAGGAGCACATCCAGGGGCCCGGCCTCTGGGGAAGGGGCCGTGGGGTCACCCCATCTGCGGGTGGTCAAGAGGACCCCGCACGGCGCAGGACTCGTCTTGGCACGGGTGCACGGTGCTGCGCAGCTGCAGAATATCCTGCGGGCGCTGGCAGCGGGAGCAGAGGCAGCAGGGGGGGCAAGTGGGGGCCAGGCCCCGGGACCGCTCCTACCTTCAGCTCGGCCAGCTGCCGCCGCACCATCTCCAGGTCCCCGCCGACCAGGAACTCCTCGGCGATGCGCAGCTCCGCCGCGTCCAGCCACTCCACGAGCCGCTGCGGGGTGGCAGGCCGTGAGGTGCAGTCACGCCGTGCCTGGGGTCGCCCAGACCACCCAGTCCCCGCAGCCCCGCGCCGCTCACCTGCATGGCCTCCTGGTAGGCGAGCAAGGCCTGCAGCTGCTCCTCCAGGCGCACGTTGCGCTCGGCCCACGCCTTGCTCAGGCTGTGCCAGGACGAGTAGAGCTGCGGGGCGGGAGGTGGCAATGGGCTCGTGCCCCAGCCCCGTACCCCACGCGGGCAGGTCTCGCGCCCCCGCAGCCCAGCTCCCCGCGGCCGCGTGCTCACGTCGTCCAGGCTCTTGGTGACGTCGGGCTTGTCCGAGTCCCCGCAGGCCGACATCAGCTCCACGCCCAGGGTACCCAGCGAGTCCAAGTCCTGCTGCAGCGAGTCGATCTCCTCTCGCAGCGCCTGCGGGACGGGATGGACGGCTGAGTGCCCGGCCCCGTCCAGCCCCAGGCTCTGCGAGGAGCTCGACCTGCAGCGGGACCTTGTCTGGGGCGAGAGCTCGGTGCAGCCCGAGCGCAGCGGCTAGAAAGGGATGGAGGGAACCGCCCCACGCACCTGCATGGCGCCGAGCTGCGCACGCACGGCTTCGGGCTCGGGGCCGGCGTCCTCCAGGTCCAGCACGGCCTGCTGCGTGTCGCCGAGGCTGAGCGCCAGGTCGGCCAGACCCCCCCCGGCG